CCTGGCACTGGGCAGCCAGGTGCCCGGAGTCGGGCGAGGCCTGGCTGGAGGTGGTGGGAAGCCGGGGCCAGCGAGGGGGCCCGGGGCGTGCGTGTGTGTGTGACTGGGCCATGCTTTTCCGGGTCTGCAGTTTGGAGGCTCAGACAGTGAGCGAGGGGTGGGCAGCTGGTTCCTCTCTGGAAGCTCTGGGAAAACCCGCCCTCACCTTCCCTGGCTCCCGGGCCGCCTGCATCTCTAGGCTCAGGCCCCTCCCCGCCTTCGAAGCCAGCCCTGCTGGAGGCCTTCCTCTCCCTGCATCACACGGTCCCCCTCGCCCCCCACTTTTAAGGCCCGTGGATGACACTGGACCCACGTGCATAACCCAGGAAAGTCCCGATCCCAGGTCAGCCAATCGTCAGCCCTGATCCCCCCTTTGCCACTTTGCCCTGAGACATACACACCCCGGTTCTGTGGTGGGGACACAGGCAGCCTCCACAGCCCCCTCCAGGCCACCTTGTCTATGCCCCCCGCTGTGTCGGCGCCCGGGTCAGCCTGGCCCTCTGTGAGCCCCTGGGGGGATGAGGCGTGATGTACCTTGTTTCTAGGGGCGAAAGTCCAGTGTCCCCGGAGGAGTGACCGTGATGTTTGCATGATGGAAGATGGTTTGATTGTTTCAAATATTGGTTTAGGGCAGGGGTGGGCAAACTTTTTGACTCAAGGGCCACAATGGGTTCTTAAACTGGACCGGAGGCCGGAACAAAAGCATGGATGGAGTGTTTGTGTGAACTAATATAAATTCAAAGTAAACATCATTACATAAAAGGGCACTGTCGTTTTTTTTTTTAGTTTTATTCATTTCAAACGGGCCGGATGCGGCCCGCGGGCTGTAGTTTGCCCACGGCTGGTTTAGGGTTTAGTGACATGGAAAAGGATTCTGTTAAAACATCCCACAGGGGACAGAGCACAGCCGAACAATGGACGGAGAAACAATGGAAAGAGAGATTTTTTTCTGAGTGCGGGAGGGTGGGGGGGTGCGGGGATGGGGGGCTGTGGTAAGCAGGGTCACCCTCCTCTCCACCCGTGTCTGTGTGCTTGGCCTTCAGCTTGGGGTTCAGCGTTGAGCGGGGAACA